TTTAAGTGCTTTTGGAACCCAAAAATATTTTCTCTAAAAGTGCTTTTAGTTACTTGAAAAGCACATCCAAACGAGCCCTTAAGCATAGGAAATGCTTTTAACGTATTTTTAGTGTCATCCTCTTTAATCCACTGCATTTTGGATTTAAATTATCTTACTCTTCTTAAACCATCTCCAACCCATGGAATACAGCTTAAAATATAAGCTTTAAAATCCCCCCAAACCATCTCCAACTATTGGACAAAAATAAGCCCTGGTGAGAAAATATATCTGTCACATCCCGGCCCGGGGCGGATCACTTCCCGGGCCCACTCCACCACTGTAGCACGATATTGTCCGCTTTGGGCCCCGACCACGCCCTCACGGTTTTGTTTCTAGGAACTCACACGAGAACTTCCCGATGGGTCACCCATCCTGGGAATGCTCTCGCGCGCTACTCGCTTAACTTCGGAGTTCCCATAGAACCCGAAGCCAGTGAGCTCCCAAAAGGCCTCGCGCTAGGTAGGATGGGAATATACATTTAAGGATCAGTCCCCTGGGCGATGTGGGATGTCACAATCCACCCCCCTTAGGGGCCCGACGTCCTCGTTGGCACATTTCGTGCCAGGGATAGGCTCTGATACCAATTTGTCACATCCCGGCCCGGGCGGGACCACTTCCCGGGCCCGCTCCACCACCTAGCACGATATTGTCCGCTTTGGGCTTACCATTCCCTCACGGTTTTGTTTTTGGGAACTCACGAGCAACTTCCCAGTGGGTCACCCATCATGGGATTGCTCTGGCCTCCTTCTCGCTTAACTTCGGAGTTCCTACGGAACTTGAAGCCAGTGAGCTCCCAAAAGGCTCGTGCTAGGTAGGATGGGAATATACATTTAAGGATCAGTCCCCTGGGCGATGTGGGATGTCACAATATCTCTGGGCTAAATTATTCTTGACCCACCAAACTGTCATATTTCAACTCATTTTTTGTTTGTTACTTATAATCTAACCATTATGATCAAATGAGATCAAATCTAATGGTAAAAAAAAGAAGATTTGATGGCCCCAAATTAAATCTAACGTTTAAAATAATTTAAGAAAATTATTTAAATCAAATTTAACTTAAAACTTTATAAATACCTATATATTTGTATGATTTTTAATTACTTATCGGAATTTAAACATTTTTAGATTAAAATGTTTATAAAAATTAAGATAATCTACAATTATTTTACTTTCAAAAAAGTTACCAAAAAGAAAAAATTAGGCTAAAATCATTATTTAATAATTTTGAACTAAAATTTTAGCCATAAGAGTTGAAGAAGAAAAACAGTTTCTGGGATATAGTTTAAAATTTTATGACTTCAATTTTTAAGCTTTATCTCCGAGAGTCAGAGATGGTCTTAATGTAGGTTAGTGTATAATATCATCTGTGATTAAATAAAAAGAATGTGACATTTCCATACGATCGGTTTCGTTCAAACGGAGGACAAAAATGTGAACGTTTATGATCAATTTTTTTTTTTGGGGTCGACAATAAATTTATTCATTTCAGAACTATTTGAAGTTGATGTATATTTAAATAGGAAAGGACCTGAATGTTAAAACCCCCTATTTTTTCCTTTATTTCGCCTGGATTGTAATTTTTGCAGGACAGGGCCGATCCAATGGGCTGAAGGGCCTATCTTAATCAGAGGGCTTGACTAGAAGTTCATGTTGACCCAAAAACGATGCGCTTGAGCCTTGGCATATAATTGGACGCAGTGCTTCGGTGGGTTTACCAGTTGCACCCATTCTGTTTGAGTTAAATTTTGGTGCACTGTTTTGTATTTGTATGGTAGGAAAGTTAAAAACCTTGCACCCTGCGATAGAGTTGAGATGTCGTCACGGTAATCTTTCAGTTGCATATAAGTTTTTCTCGAAAAAAAGTAGAATGCAAACATATGCAAATGACAGTTGACAATAATGATGCTCTGCATTTTGTAAGGGAGAGAGAGCACCGAGACAAACAGAAAGAGACGGATAACGTTGTGTTTGTGTCCATATATGTATACGCATGTACAATTTTATTAAATGTTCATCTCCACAACAGAAACAGAAGCAAAAGTAAATGTAAAGAGTGATGAAATTGAGGTTCTACCATAAAACTAATTGGTAATATGGGAAGTAGTCTAAGATCATATAAGCACATAGTAAACCTTATCCCTCACCGATGTGAGACAACTCTCAACACGCTTCCGCACGTGTGACGGATTTTCAAGCCTACATGTGGACAATAACTGGGTGACGTGGAGCACGTGTGTCATTGGCTTCACACGAGGACAACCCGCTCTGATACCATGATGGAATTGAGGTTCCACCATAAAACCAATTGACAATATAGGAAGTAATCTAAGATCATATAACCTTGTCCCTCACCAATGTGGGACAACTCTCAACAAAGAAGAGGGCGTGAGCCCCAGACGGACGGAGAGAGCACAAGAGTTTGGAGAGAGAGACAGAGAGACAGAGAGACAGAGAGACAGAGAGGGAGCAGTCATGGACTCATGGGAGCTGATGAGCTCCATCGCTAGCTAAACTAGCCACTACACACTGCGGGGATTCATGCACGGCCAGCTGTGAATTAGATGGCATCAGAGAGTTTGGGCCTCACACAGTCACATGCATGTCATGCATATATATATATATATATATAATGTCTCTATCTTTCTCCACTGTCACAAATATGTTGCATCCTCTTTAACTTAGTTAAATTTTTAGTAGCGCTAATCTATTTACATATGCTACCGACTTTCTTAGTACTAATTTGGTATTGAGGTGTTTTTATAAAAAATTAGTATAAAAAAAAAATCTGAGCTCAAAAAGGTGTTTGGTAAACACTTAAAAAACAGTTTATTTTCATAGTTTTTTGTGAAAAAAAAAGCTGAAAACATGAAGCAACAAAAATGAGCTTTTCTCATAGCACAACATAAACAGTTTTTTTTCAAAGCACAGCAATACCAAACCAGCCATTAGTCGGACTTTCAAACTCTTTTTCTCATCTTGAAATTTAGCATGATTCATAATTGTCTACTTATTAGTTCATTACGTAAAGAGCAATTATCCAAAACAATGAAGTTAAATATTCTTTAACCATTTGATTAACATTGTCAAAACTTTAGTGTTTAACTGAATAACATGATTTGTCTATTTACTGAATTAACGGTTAAATGTGTAAACGACTTCAAAGAGGAACGAAGCTTCGCATTTGATTTTCTTCAAACGCCCAATCTGTTTTCGCTCATCGCTACTAACAGGGCCTCAAGTGTCCCAATAATCCAAAGGATACTAGCTTGCCGAGTTAGAAAGCTTTGCTCTTTCCCAAATCAATGATATAGAGCAGAAACTCAGTTATGGGCTACCCCTCAACTGTCTGCTTCCTCAGTCGGTGCAGAAAAGTAGTCATTACAAACTAGATTGAGACACGGTTAATTTTAATCAAGTTCATTTCTAAAAAATAACAATTTGGAATTGGATAACATTGTTAGATATGAGAAGGAAGAGCGAGAATGTTCAAACGAGAACATTGCTATCATTCGCCAATCTACGTAGAGATTGCACTAGTGCAATGTATACATAGTTACATACATTATTGCTAATCAGTTATTTTAGGTAGCTATCACATGTTTGTACTTGTCCATTGTGAACAATGTGAAATATAGACGTAAATTTCACTAAAAAAAAAAAAAGGATTAGAAATAAAAAGAAAGGAAATCATTGTCCCGAAGGGACCACCCCACGAGTCACGACAGGCAGTACAGTACACAGGAAATTGGTAGTGAAGGATGTTTTGGTCAATTAACATTGACGTGACGAGAGAATGTTGCTCCAAAAAGCACATAAATTTGACAAGACACGGCCCACGAATGACTCGGATCTGGACCACAGGTCCACAGTAAACAATCACAGCCCCAATGGTATCCAATTTTCTTTATTTATTATAATTATAATTATAATAAAATTATTATTATTAACGTTATCCATATACGCATTTTCATTTCACACTTACTCTTTTAGTGTTTGACTGTCGTTCGAATAAATTAAAAAAAAATTAATAGCAAAAAATTAACAAATGTGTATAGAAGATAAAAATGAGTACGTGAGCAACAATATTATTATTATTGTATAAATGTACTCTTAGATGTTAGGGAGAGGAGAGCTTCATCAATTATTTAAAAAAAAAAAAAAGTTTATTTAATCTTATTCGTTCTTATTGGTTAATTATTCAATTTGACACTTCAAGTTGAGCAGGGTCTAACTCTCAATGTCACATATATTGTCACAACTTAATCAAATATTGTTAAGTGGACTTGATGATATTAAAAGTGAATATCTCACATATAAACTGTATAATTTTTTTTTTTATATTTTCGATGTGAGACTTTATTCTTCGACAAAATTTAAAAATAGTGGGTGGAAATTACCTCCATAACTTGTGCAACCCAAAGGTTATAGAATTATATTAATTTACACATTTGTCTATTGAATTATTATTTAGTTTTATAATTTGAATGTTCACTAAATTAATGATGTGGTAAACATGAAATTTATGATTAGAGGCAACACGTAAGTCACATTGCGCCACATAACCTAAAAATTCATCAACTTTAATGACCAATTAAACATGCAAATACACAAAAAGCATAACTGATACGATTTCAAAACTTTATACGAAGACGTGAAAAAATTGAAACTTAAATTGCCTAATTTAAAATCATCTCAAAGTGTAAAATATAGTTAGCCCAAAATTTACCTACGCCCAACACAAGTTCCCTACATCGCGTGGCACCATCCATCATTTCTAGACCGCATCTACGACTAAAACGACCCCACCACCGTCTTGTTATGGAGGGATGCTCACTTTTTACTTATTTCCGTAAAATTTGAAATAAAAATACATAATTCACAAGTGCTTCGGGATTCGGGAAAATAAATTATAATAAAAAACAAAAACAATAATAAAAAGACAAGCAACAAAACAGTGTCCGAAAATAATTTTGCTCATATATATATATATATGGAGTGGAAAACAATTAATTATTAATTGAAAGAAAAAATAAAATAAAATTCAAAACTCAGCACCGAGTCAATGTCGGGGACTCGTTTCGCTGTCACGGTAGCGCGCAGCCATGGCGCGAAAACCCCAGCAGCGACCTGTCCCTGTCGAACTCGAACAAGAACCCTTGTTGCATTAGATTCCCTATCACTCCGAAACCCGACCCAGATTCCACGGGTTGGATCGCCAGGCACTTTATCCGGTCCGCTGTGTCAATGAAGTAGCTACTCGGCGGCGGCGCAAACACCGAGTTCCCAGCGAGTTTAAAACTCATCCTGGGCAGCCTTGGCCTCGACGCCCCTGACACGTTTACGCAAAGATCGAAGCCGGGTGTCGGATTAGCTGGGCTCGCCAGCCTAATATTCCGCTTAAACGCTGCTAAAATTAGACGGTAAGCCGGCTCGGGTAAAAACGACAGCGTGGTTCCCGAGTCGATGACTGTGCCGCCGTTACCGGAAGAGTCGAGGGCCCAGACGGAGGGGCGAATCGGTAATTTAGCGCCGTGGACGGAGACGGACTTAATCCCAATGTAGTAAAATGTGGGAGCGAAATTGTTCACTTGCAACGGGGTGAAGCTGAATTTCTTATTCGAAACGACGCGGCTAGGAGAGCCGCCGCCGATTCTGAGGTAACTCGTCGGCGACGGGGATAGAGTGTAGTCCATGAGACAGTATGAGAATTTGTTCCCAAACCGGCGACCCAGTTGCGAGGAAAACGAGATGGGCCCTCTTCCCAGGCCCATGACTCCTTGGGCCCCATTGAAACTCGGACCCGTGATACTCGGACCTTCGACCCGAAACGCGCACCCGAAGGATAAGTGCGGGAGCTCTGTGTGCGTCCCGGAGCTGGTGTTCAATGTCGTCGTTTCTTTGGAGAAGAACCCGGCGGTTAGTGACCCGTCGGAGTAGGAGTACTCGTAGCGACACGGGCTGTGGAGTCGGGTGTGGTTACATGGGTTCGGGTCGGGTGGGGGGACCAGCTTGCAGGCAGAGTTGTAGCAGTGGTAGGGCGAGAATGTAGAGGAGTGGCGGGCGAGGAAAGCTGAACCGGGTCCCCGGTTGGAGCAGTCTGTGCAGGCGGAGCAGGTGAGCCATACGAGATCGCTGCCGGTATCGGCGACGAGAAGGAGGCGCTGCGGAGGGGTGCCAATGCGGAGATCGACGAAGTACTGTCCGGAACCGGAGGACGCGCCGGATACGACGGGTAAGGTGATGTCGCGGCGGCGGGAGTGGAGGAGGGAGAGGCGGTGGGTGTCGTGAGAAAGGGTTTGGGACGGGGAGAAGGGCTGTTTGTGGAGGAGGGGGAGCTGGAGGTAGTCCTGGGCGGTGGTGGATTGTTGGGAGTTGCAAAAGTTGTTGAAGGAGGAGAAGAAGAAGAAGAAGAAGGAGAGAAAGAGTGGAGAGAGTGACACGGACGCCATTGTTGTGGCAGTAGAAAAGGGGAGTGAGAGATGAGATAGTGATTGTGATCAATTAGAGTGAGTAAGGACAGGAAGCCGGACAGGACAGGGGAGTGACGCGTTTTTGTGGTTCTCGAGGTCGTACGATATGTATACTGTATAACGTATTTCTGTACGTGAAACATTTTATAATTTTTCGTCTGTGTCTTCGTTTTCGTATGCCAAATTGCCAACGCATTGTTTTGTTAAAGCAGCTTATTTTCGAAAAAAGTTTGAGATTACATCATAAAAGAAACCAAAATTGCATGATTTCTTCTTTACCTAATATGAGATTCACTCTCATCACGTCCTCTCACGTGGAGGACATAAATTGGGTACTGTTAGACTTCATATATGGAACAATATGCTCTGTTACTTTGAAGAAAATTAAGGTTTCACCATTAAATCAATTGATAATATGAGAAGTGGTCTTACTTACTTATAAACTCATGCAATGTTCTATTCTCATTAAAATATGATTCATTCTTAACAAGTTTTGCTAATACTACAAATTACTCAATAATTCTAGGAATACTTGCACGATAATATTTCAAGTCAATCACAAATTGACGTGTAGAAAAATTAAAATGCATGGTGCTAGGTAATTTACATTGACCTTTTTTTTTTTTTTTTTGTAATGGTAGGTAATTTACATTGACCCCTTTTTTTTTTTTTTTTTTTTGGTAATGGTAGGTAATTTACATTGACCTTTTTTTTATTTATTTTTATTTTTGGTAATGGTAGGTAATTTACATTGACCTTTTTTTATTTTTTTTTATTTTTGGTAATGTTAGGTAATTTACGTTGAATTATATCGGTTGGCTTTTGAATTTGGGTCGATCAGCAAACCTAATGGCACGGAAATTGCCTAGGACCGAATCATTTGGGCCTTTTTTCAGAGACAGACGGAAAGGACTGTGCATTGGGCAGAGGTTATGTAACATCCCACATGGTTCAGGAGAGTAGATCTTGTAAGTCTTATATGTATATTTCCATCTTTACCTAGCACGAGGCCTTTTGGGAGCTCACTGGCTTTGGGTTCCATCGGAACTCCGAAGTTAAGTGAGTAACGCGCAAGAGCAATCCCATGATGGGTGATCCACTGAGAAGTTCTCGTGCGAGTTCCTAGAAACAAAACCGTGAAGACGTGGTCGGGACTCAAAACTGACAATATCGTGCTACGATGGAGTTGAGTCCGGGATGTGATGAGGGCCAAGACCAGGATGTGATAGGTACAGATTGGCCACTAATGCTCTTGTCATGCAGTCAAATTTAATCAACAAAAACAAAATTAAGATTCTGTTTAATTATGATAAGTGAAGTTTACGTAAATAATCCAGTTAAGAGTATTTATTTTAAATTCGAGATCATATATTTGGTGAATTGATAAGTTCTTAATATCGCTCGTATATAAAAAATATATATAATTAAATGAAAGCATAGAGTGAAGGCAGTTGAGGGGATGGACAGAGTTGAATGTGCAAGTATGTTGGTGGGACTCGTAAATTTTAATTTTCAAAGACAAGCAAGCAGGTGGGGAAATAAATTCAAATTTCCAACGCAGCTAAAAAAATAATATTTATAATAATAGCTGGATTTTGGACAGAGTAAAATAAATAAAAAAACGAAAAATTAAACTTCGTACGTAAGTTGGATCTGCTCCATTAATGGTACGTGTTTTAAGCACAATTTTTGTCTGTGTGTTACTATTTCACTAACCCTACTTAATTAATTAATTAATTTGATTTAAATATAAATAATGATAGATTCGGCGCCGGTGGCACATGCCCATGCATAGGTAGGGCGTTACCTAATTTTATTATGGCTTTATAGAAAAATACAAAATAAAAACCCAAAAGACTGAGACTCTTGTCGCGAGTTTGCACGAAGACAAACTCAGATTCCATTAATTCATGGTATTGTTAGTAGTTTTGATGTTTATTTTTATTCTTGAGAGTGAAAGATTTTAAATTCGCCTCTTATTCTATTCAACTCTTGAGAGCAGGAGATTTTAAGTTCGCCCTTCATTTGTTCGATTATTTTATGGGTAATCTTCATTTACTGAGGAGTAATATTATTCATATCATGTTTTTGTACCATATTTTTATACTATTACCTTATGTGACATTTGATGTGGGCAAACATATTATTTGAATTAATCAGATTTTTTTAATTTAGTCATTATTTAATAAATTAATAATTAAGAAAAGGGTTAATTACACTTTCATACCTCATGTTGGGGGTCTATTTCAATTCCTTACAACATCTTCAAAACCTTTCACTTTCATACCTTAAGTACTATTTTATTTTAAAATAATACATCCGTTATATTTTCCATTCATTGATCCGTTAAGCGCTGACGTGGTCACCATGTGGCTACCAAATGTGTGCCCTGTGGCAAAAAAAAACAATTTTTTAATTTTTTTTTATAAAAAACCTTAAATCTTCTAAATATATTAATTTAAAAAAAAAAAAACTAAAGTTAACCTTCCCGTCATCCCCCCATTCCCCGTTGTCCCCTCAAAACCAAAAACCCAGAATAATCCCCCCTACCCCACGCCACCCAGATCCTCCCCTTCGCCGCCCACATCTCCCCCACCCACAACCCTCCCTGTGCACCCCACCCCCAACCCGCGACCCTCCCTCCCGCCGCACCCATCATCTTTCCTTCTCTACACACCCCCCACTCTCCTCTACACCCCCCCCCCCTTTAAATCCACATCCATTCCACGAACTTGGCGAGACAGGATCTGGGGTTTTTTTTTTTTTTTTTGGGTTGGAGGTAGAGGGTTGGGGGAAGAAGATGAAGATGGGGGAGGAGATAGAGGAAGGGGGGAAAGACGGTTTTTTTTTTTTCTTCTTCTTTATGGGTTGCAGGGAAGAAGATGAAGATGGGTTTGGGGGTTGCGGGGAGAAGACCGGTTTTAGATTTTTTTTTTTTTTGAGAAAATTCAGGTTTAAAAAAAAAATTATTATTTTTGCTACGTGGCATATATGTGGCAGCCACATCAGTACTTAACGGATCAATAAATGAAAAATGTAACAGAGGTATTATTTTGAAATAAAATAGCACTTAAGGTATGAAAGTGAAATGTTTTGAAGATGTTGTAAGTAATTGAAATAGATGAAAATGTAATTTACCCTTAAGAAAAATTAGTTAATTAAATGGTATACGAAGAGTCTTTATTGCTCCTTTCTTTGTCTAGCTCTACTTTTACTAACAGCTTATTCGCACAGACATTTACTTTAATGTCCCCATCTTCAAAAGGCCGTTGCTATTACTATTTACTCATGACCTCTAACTGCTCCAATTGGCCCAAACAAGTTTGTATATAGAGGTCCTGGCATCCTAATTCCATTGTACAATTTCGTGCTATTTTTTGGGTTATTTATATTTTGCACCGTTAAATTTAGGTATAATTGCAATTTTATACATCATCTTAAAACATTCTAATGTCATATACAAACTTATGTTTTGCTTGCAATTTCATGTATATAAGTTAGTCAAACCGTTAATTTGACCGTTAAATAATGATGTAACAACTGTAGGTCCTGCTAATTTGCTAATGTTACAACCGTATTAGACCAACAAAAAGGAAAGAAAATGATGTAGGACAAGATATGAGTCAATTCTTACGAAGAAAGATAAAGAAAATAAAATGGTGGATTCCAAAACTTTGTTCTTTGAAAAATTTCGCTTGTAATCCTTTTATGCTCGTGCTGCATCAATATCATCGTGGTGCATAAGAAGAGGTTACAAATGTACTGTAGTGGACCCAATCAATATTGTTTGAGCTTAGCCTTTGGCTTTGAAGTTCTCCAATTGGTCAATAACTACTAATTTGGTGATATAATTAATAACCCCTATCTGATCACATCAAAGAGAAAGAGAGGAGTTAAATTTTCTGGCTGTCAAGAGTTATTTGAGCAAATTCTTGTGTTTGGAGAATATGGAAGTGCAGAAATGAAGCTGTGATTAATGAAGGCTTAATACTACCAATGGAGGCTTTGATGATGAGAAAAACCAATGGACTGAGTACGTGGAGGCTGACAGACAAGGAGTGAACGATACAACCTCCGCCATGTAGCAGCTAAAGGAGGGGCCGTAGTGGTTTGGTGGCTACGTCAAGCTTAATGATGGAGGCAGAGAGGCCATAAGGGAAGGCATGGCTGCTTGTGTTGAGAAGGGCTACCAGAAAGTGATTGTGGAAACAAATGCTCTAACCTTGTTAAGAAGTTGCGGGAGGAGATTGATGCTGCTGCAACAATAGAAGGAATCCTGGTTGACGTCAAAACAACTTGCCAAGCAATTGGAGTCAATTGAGTTTACTTATGCTTCACAACATTGTAACAGAATAGCGTACTTGGTCTTCATTTGTTTGGATTTAAGAATAAAGATTCCTTATAAATGGAATGCTTTTCCCCGAATGGCTTTTTAAATCCCTTCCTAAGGATGTACACATTTTCTTGCTACTTAATAAAAGCACTTCGTTTAAAAAAAGAAAAAAAGAGGACCAATAATTGGCACCAGCTAAGTGATCCAAGTGAAGTGGACCAAACCATATGACCAAAGAAAAACAAAAGTGAGCTAAATCAACTTTTCAAAAAGTTTGATATGTGTATTCCTATCGGCTCACCTGTTGATCAATATGAAAGTTAATATAAATAATAATACAATAATTCATAAAAAAAGGGAGATAAATCATTTTTATTAATATAATTTAGAACAATACTTGACTATTCAAAGATGAGTAGGAGTTCCTACTCAAAATTTCTCAAAATTGTTCGTTGTGAATTTATAGAACTTTGTGTTTATAATCAGAACCGTTCATATTATAAATCATCCTATAAATATCGCCTTTGCAAAAAATCAATTAAAATTAATGTCGTTTAGTCATCAAACTGTTTAAAAACAATGAACGGTATTGGTAAAAGTACTACGAACCGTCTATGTATTTGCTACAATAGACTGACTAAATGACCTTAGTTTTATTTTATTTTTTGCAAAGATGATATTTACAATGTGATTCATAATATGAACGGTTCTAATCATAAACACAAAACTCTGATTAAAACACTAA